AGGAGGAGAGTGGGGGCACTAAGGCACCTGAGGGAGGAGAGTGGGGGCACTAAGGCACCTAGAGGAGGAGAGTGGGGGGTGCTCAGGCACCTAGAGGAGGAGAATGGGGGCGCTCAGGCACCTAGAGGAGGAGAGTGGGGGCGCTCAGGCACCTAGAGGAGGAGAGTGGGGGCATTAAGGCACCTGAGGGAGGAGAGTGGGGGCGCTAAGGCACCGGCAGGGGGAGATTGGGGGGCCCTTGGGCACTTGTAGAAGGAGAATGGAGGGGAGCGCTCAGGCACTTGCCGGAGGGGCATCAGTGAGCACTTCTCTCAGCACTGAGGGGGTGAAGGTTCCTCACATTCTGGTGTCAGCCCCGCTGGACTCCCCAGCTCCCAGCTTGTAGCGGAGGCGTTCAGGGCTGCTCACTCTCAGATGAGTCACTGCCTACGCATGCCAAGCGGAGCTGGGTTTTCAGGAACCAGGCTTGGATGGCAGGCACCCAAGAGTGGTTCGAGGCAAGCCCTGAGCTCACCGGTCTCCATGTGTACCCATCAATCAGGGACAGCACCTGGGTCATTACTGCGAGGCATGCAGGCTTGGGATGCTGGGATTGAGAGGAAAGGAGAATGACTCCCGGGTGGCCTCGCATCAAACATTTCAGAGGAAACAGCTCCAAGTATTTTATCTCATCATCTCCCCTCCCGCCTGGAGCAGGGTGCAATGCACATCACTTCATGCTTTAACCTCAGTTTCTGTTAGATTCTGCTGATTTCTCCTATGCTAAACGCCAGTGTCTCCGCCATCACTGAAGAACCACAAATGAGCCTGTGAATTATTTACCACCTTCGCCTCTTCCTGGGTGCTCCCTGTGAGTAGGGAGAGGGCACTTGTGATATCACTTCAGATAGTATGCTGTCACCAGGAGCGATGGGTGGACCATGAAGGCTCTGGGTGATTTCCTGGCACGGGGGCCACAGCGGCCTCGCACCTACGGCATCAGGTCTCCCCGTGGTTGGCAAAACCAAATGGCAGGTGAACATACATCACTGTTTGCTTTTTGACCCTAATGTTCTCTATCTCTGCACTGGAGACAACCACTGTCCGCTCAATCCTCTTCCTCCCTCCTTTAGGGCACACTCAATCAAAGGGAGTCGCTTCTGAGGACAGAGTAGAACTGTCCCTAAGGAATCCTGAAAGGACAAATCTTGATGGGAGTGGACAGTCTCATCTTTGTCAGAGGAATGGCTAGAGACTTGAACCTCTAACCTTGAAGTTAGCAGCCCCACACCCACTGCACCTCCAGGACGCCTTGTCCTTTGAGAAGCTACCTGCTGCCATGAGAGACCACACTCCCTGCTTCCCTGGATAAGGCAGAACTGGGTATCGGGAGGGCTGGACTTTGAGGCTGAGACCTGCCACCGCCCAGCTTGCCCTCCATGGCCTGGCTGCCCTGCCCTGCTCTTCCACACTGGGGACAGGCCTAGGACCGGTGGACCTGCAGAATGGGCACAGCCTGGGTACAGTGCTGGGGTGGGCACAGTCCACACCTGCCTTCCCATATCACTCCTCTTGGTAAGCTCCCTCCAGCCCCTGACAACCTCCCATCAGGAACAGGGCTAGAATGGCCCTGGCCCAGCACATGGCGGCCCAGCCAGGATGCCTGACCCTCTCGGCTGTGCCCCAGTTCCACCTCCACCAACATGGCTACACACACACACACACAAACCTGAAGACCCCACACAGACTTATACACAGAAACTCACACACACACACACACACACACACACACAGACTCCAGTAGGACCCAGACTCTGACGCATGCGGTGACGCAAATGTACACTGTTTCAAGCCACTAAGTGTGTCAGAATACCGTCACCTGGCGGTTGATAATGAGTTGTTGGTAGGTGCTGTCAAGTCAATTATGGCTCCCAGTGACCCCATGTGACATGGAGGAACTGCACCATAGAGGTTCTCGGCTGCACTGTTTATGGGAGCAGATCTCCAGGTCTGTCTCCCATGGAGCTCCTACATGGGTTTGAACTGCTAACCTTTGAATTAGCAGCTAAGTGTTGAAGCGTTTTGCCACGAGCGAGCCTTAGGTAACGGATATACCCCTAAATCCTTTATAGAAGGCAGAATTTCCACTACTGCTTTGATGCTTGGAAGGATTTCTATTACTAACCAGAGCAAAGTAACAAAGACAAAAGACTCTCGTTACTCAACATACATGAATGTGCAAATTAGACTTTTCCTTCTTTCAGCACATGTTCCCCCTGGGCCCTCAAACTCACTGTGTTGCCACTAAGTCCAGGATTGCTGTGAGCCGTCTGCATTCGATCTACTCAGCTCTACCACGGCCACAGGGGAGCGTGCAGGAGATGCTCGGGACCGAGTTTAAACGAAGGGAAAACCAAAGCACAAAATGTTCCTCTGGCCGTGTGGAGGTAAACAACACACCCCCACACCTCCCAAACAGCCTGTACAGAGCGAGGACACATCCCAGTTAGGGTGGACAGGCTACAGTATGGCTGTCCGTCAACCAGCGCAGCCCCCACAGCTCAGTCCCCACAGCTGGCCCCCAGGATGCTGGTCCCCGGGTGCAGCCCACAGCTGGCCCCCAGGATGCTGGTCCCCGGGTGCAGCCCACGGCTCGGCCCCTAGGATGCTGGTCCCCGGGTGCAGCCCACGGCTCGGCCCCTAGGATGCTGGCCCCGGGTGCAGCCCACGGCTCGGCCCCTAGGATGCTGGCCCCGGGTGCAGCCCACGGCTCGGCCCCTAGGATGCTGGCCCCCGGGTGCAGCCCATGGCTCGGCCCCTAGGATGCTGGCCCCCGGGTGCAGCCCACGGCTCGGCCCCTTGCAGCCTCGGGGCTGTTAAGCCAACAAGCAGCACTTAGGCCCCCCTTGCCCACCTGCTGCATTTAAAAGCTCTCAAATCGCTTCATCCAAGATGTCTATCCAACAAAATGATGAGCAAACAGGCGAGTCCAACAAAGGCATTCACGTGTTGGGAGGAGGAAGAGCTGGAGTGGAGGTGGGCTGGAAACCTGTCCCCAACACATCTCAGCTGAAGAACAAGGATTTATGAGGCCACAGGGACCAGAATTCTCCTCCATGAAGGGGCGGGGAATGGAGTCCCTCCCACTGGAAGCATAGCAGGCGCGGGCTGGGCTGCTTCATTCTGGGTGGTCCCTCAGCCACCCACGCTGGGCGTACTGGGGGCTCAACCTGAACATGACAAACCCAGCTGTCATCAAGGCGACAGTGACGTATCCCCATAAGGGTCAGAGAAGTACGGTCCACATGGCTTTCAATGGCTGGTTTTTCTAATGTAGATGGAGGATGGACTGGACCCTCCAGCTTTCAGATGGCAGCTGAGCGCATTCACTGTCTGCACCTGACCAGAACACCAGTTCTCAGGTAAGCAGGCATGTTCTCAGGCTCCCAGACTGGCAGGTCCATCCGTGTGTCTGGACTGTGGACAGTATGCTGAACAGTAGACGCTAACAGGCCAACATGGAACCTTCACACTGCTGGGCTGGCACCCTAAGTTCACGCGTCCGCCCACGCTAGTCCTGCCTCGGCAGCATTTCCAACACAACACGATTTCTTGTTTACTCTGCATGGCTGAGCACATCCTCCAACATGGTGACTGCAAACCCAAAGAACACCAACGCAGAATGCAAACCATTGCCCTGGCCTGACTTCTTGGTAGTCAGGCTGGAGGGAGGACAGCAGGCCACCTCTCAGCTCCCCCTAGCCAGTGGTCTGTGTCTGCCAGCATCTCCTCCTGCAGGATGAGCCCCCGACATCTGGGAGCTCCACGAGGCTCTCCACACCCAGGCAGCTATTCCTGACTGGATTTCTACCTGAGGCCACATGTGGGACTGACCCAGGTCTGCTCTTCTTCCCTTGCCTTCAGTAGACTGTTTAGAAGAGCTTGGCTCAGGGAAACAGGCAAGCAGACCCAGCTTCTCCTAAGGGTCTCTCGTGACCACTCACAGTGCCGTGAAGTCCTCTCTCACTGCAGTCTTCCTTACAGTCCGACTGGGCATGGATGGATGGATGGACACTGGGTACGAGGCGCTGCCATGTTGTGTCCACGTCCTCAGCACTGTGGCGCAGCGGGTTCTTCTCCAAGGCTCCGTTCCTACTTCTACTTCATCCCAGCAACACTCCCGTCTTATCCTACAACCTCATAGAAGGCGTACAAACGGCCAGTTCTCACTCTCGTTCACAGTCCAGCTCTGAGCACCAGGCCAGGGGCTCCCTCAGGGTCAGAGCGGCTAAGCCCCTCCTTCCCCAGTGGAGGATGGTAGGGCATTTGCAGACTCCTTGCTTCCTGGGTCTTCCAGCATCTAGGCAGCATCACAGATACGTTTAAATGCTCACCAGCACCAAAATGCTCCATAAGTGCTTTTCAGATGGGGCACAAATGAGCTGCCCCTTTCCTGTAGTCTTCCACCCAAGCAAGAACCAAGACTCATCTCTCCTCTGGTGTCCTTCCATCTTAGGACTTTCTCGAAGAAAACAGCGTCTTCAGATGTCATGCCTACACTGGGGTCCTTATCAGCAGCCCCACCTGGGGGACATTGACCATCACAGCCATAAGCCATCGCTCACCTGTGGGTGTCAGACAGGTACAGATGACACCCAGCGGCCATGGACCCAGCAGCTCTGGCTCCACAAACTCAGTCGGCCAGTCTTTCCTCAGCACTGGCTCCCTGCCCTGCTGTCCCTGCCCCCAACCCCCACCTGAGCCATGAGCAGTCCCAAGAGGCTGGCATGACGGTCCATCTGTGCTCTGTGGGTGGAGCTCTCTAGGGCAGGGTTCTCTTTAGTTGCCCTGTCAGCACAACTCGGGGCCTCCCAATTTGCGTCCTGCAATCCCACCACGCTTGCGTCACTGCAGAAGTGCGGCACATGGCCTGCCAATAGGCACTTACCACATGGCGTGCATGTAGGTGGGGGGCAGTCGTGGGCTGCTCACAGGTGTGCAGTTATAGGACCTCATGATCCTTTCTGCCAATAAGAAATTTCGGAACAGACTCGCCACCAGCAGGTCTTGGCGGAAGAGCTTCTGGAAGAGATCTGAAGGCATTAAGGAGAGAAAGGGTCCTCAGTGAGCAGGTCCAGTACCAAAGCCCCACACACACGTGCCATCAGCAAAACCACCAGACACAGCGGGATGATGCACACACCCACAGGCAGCACACACGTGTCCATTCATGCATGTCCGCATGCAACTACACACACGTCCATCCACATGTATACCCACACACGTCCATCCACATGCATACCCACACACTACACATGTGTCCATTCATGTGTATGCCTGCACACTGCACACACGTGTCCATCCATGCATATGTCCACATGCAACTACACACAGTCCATCCACATGTATACCCACACACAACTACACACGTGTCCATTCATGTGTATGCCTGCACACAACTACACACACATGTACATCACACATATGCCCGCACGCATTGACACACGTGTCCATCCAAACACGTGTCTGTATGCAACTACATGTGTCCATCCATGTGTATGCCCACATACAACTACATGCACACACATCTATCCATGCATTTGAACGTATGCAACTCCCCCCACCCCACATCCATATGTATGAACATATGCTACTAGGCACATGTCCATCCACATACATGTAAGTACACACACGCACACACCTACACACGTCTATCCATAAACGTGAACACACACACATACATCTATCCATACATGTGTACATACTCACCTGCACACAGGTCCATTTGCATGTACACACATACACATATTCATCCACACACATGCAAATACATACCTACACATTCATCTGTACATATGTGTGCATGCACAAAGACATACACACTTCCATCTATCACTCGCCTGGCAGTTTGTCATACTGTGGTGGACTGCGTGTTGCTTTGATGCTGGAAGCTATGTCACTGGGATTTTGAATGCCGGCACGGTCACCCCGAGTGGACAGGTCTCAGCTGAGCTTCCAGACTAAGACAGACTCAGAAGAAGGCGCAGACTATTTGCGATTGTTTAGCTAATGGAAACCATATGAGGAGGAATGAAACACTGTCAGAAAGCCCCAGAATACTGACTACTGAAACATGATGAAGAGAACCAGAACATTGTCAGAGAGAGGGTGAAGACTGGAAGGCATGCAGCAGGGAAGAGCTGCCTCCTCCAAGTAGAGTTAACCATGATGACACGAGTGGAGTAAAGCTTTGGGGACCTTCATTTGCTGGTGGCGTACAACTCAAAATGAGGAAAACAACTGTACACATCCATTAATAATTGGAGCTAGGAAAATTGGAACTTGTCAAAAATGAAATGGAATACATAAACATCAACCTCCTAAGCATTAGTGAGGTGAAATGGACTGGCATTGGCCATTCTGAATCTGACAACCACCAACTTTACTACGCCGGGAATCACAAATTGAAGAGGGATGGCATCACATTCATCATCAAAAATCAAGATCTGTCTTAAAGTACAACGCTGTCTGTGATAGGATAATACCCATACACCTACAAGGAAGACCAGTTAATACCACTATTATTCAAATGTGTGCACCCACCACTAAAGCCCGTGAGGATGAAACTAAAGAATTCTACCAACTTCTTCCATCTGAAATGGATCAAATGTGCAATCAAGATGTATTGATAATTATCGGTGATTGGAACGAAAAGGTTGGAAACAAAAAGGAAGGATCAGTAGTTGCAAAATATGGCTTTAGTAATAGAAATGATGCTGGGGATTGCATGAAAGAATTTTGCAAGACCAATGACTTCTTCATTGCAAATACCTTTTTTAAACAACATAAAAGATGATTATACACATAGACCTCACCAGATGGAATACACATGAATCAAACTGACTACATCTGTGGAAAGAGATGGCGAAAAAGTTTTATATCATTAGCCAAAACCAGGTCGGGGCAGACTGTGGAACAGACCATCTGTTGTTCACATGCAAGTTTAGGCTGAAGATGAAGAAAAATTTTAAAAGTCCCTAAGAGCCAAAATATGACCTTGAACATATCTCACCTGAATTTAGAGGTCGTCTCAAGAACAGATTTAATGCATTAGACACTGCAAATGGAAGAAATGAGGAGGTACAAGAGCTGAACAGAAAATTTCAAAGGCAAAGTCAAGCATAATGAAATGTGCGAAGACCTGAAGTTAGAAAACCAAAAGGGAAGAATACACTCAGCATTTCTCAAGCTGAGGGAACTGAAGAAAAAATTCAAGCCTTGACTTGAAATATTTAAGGATTCTCTGGGCAAATTATTGACGGATGCAAAAAGCATCCAAAGAAGATGGAAGGAATAAATAGAGTCCATGTATCAAAAAGAATGGTTGAAGTTCAACAATTTCAAGAGATAGCATATGATCAAGAGCCAATGTTACTGAAGGAAGAAGTCCAAGGTGCATTGAAGTCACTGGCAAAAAGGACAAGGCTCCTGGCATTGCTGGAACACAGACTGAAATCTTTCAACAGACTGAAGCAGCACAGGAGACACTCCCTCATCTCTGCCAAGAAACCTGGAAGGCGTCTATCTGGCCAACTGATTGAAGTAGATTCATATTTGTGCCCATTCCAAAGAGAGGTGACCCAAAGGAATGTGAAAATCATAGGACAATAGCATTAACACCACATGCAAGTAAAATTTTGTTAAAGATCATTTAAAAACCAGTTGCAACAGTATACTGACAGGGAAGGTCAGAGGTTCAAGCTGGATTCAGATGAGGATGTGCAACGAGGGATATCACTGCTGATGTCAGATGGATCTTGGTTGACAGCAGAGAATGCCAGGAAGATGTATACCTGTGATTTACTGACTACACAAAGGGTTTCAACTGTGTGGATCACAACAAGCTACGGACAACATTGTGGAGAATGAGCATTCAAGAACACTTAATCATGCTCATGAGGCGCTCGTACATAGACCAAGAGGCACACGTTTAAACAGAACAAGAGAACACTGAATGGTTTACAATCAGGAAAGGTGTGTGCCAGGGTTGTATTCTTTCACCATACTTATTCAGCCTGTATGCTGAGCAAATAATCTAAGAAGTTAGATTATATGAAGAAAAACATCACATCAGGATTGGAGGAAGACTCATTAGCAACCTGCGATATGCAGATGATACAACCTTACTTGCTGAAAGGGAAGAGGACTTAAAATACTTATTGATGAAGATCACAAACCACAGCCTTCGGTATGAACTGCAGCTCAATGTAAAGAAAACAAAATTCCTCACAACGGGACCAATAAATAACATCATGATAAATGGAAAAAAGATTAAAGTTATCAAAGACTTCATTCTGCTTGGAGCCACTATCAACACTCATGCAAGCAGCAGTCGAGAAGAAATCAAATGATGTATTGGATCAGGCAAATCTCCTGCACAAGACCTCCTTAAAGTGTTTAATCTCATAGATGTCAGTATGAGGACTAAAGGGTGACTAGTGTTTTCAATAGTCTCATATGCCTGTGAAAGCGGACAACGAATAAGGAAGCCCACAGAAGAATGGAAACACTTGAGTTGTGGTGTTGGAGCATACTGAAGGGACCATGGACAGCCAGAAGAGAAATCTGTGTTGGAGGAAGTGCAGCCCAATACTCCAGAGAAGCCAAGATGACCAGACTTTGTCTCTCAGAATTCAGACATGTCATCCCTGGAGAAGGGTATCATACTTGGTAAAGTAGAGGGACAGCAAAAAAGAGGGAGACCCCCAACAAGATGGATTGGCACAGTGGCAGCAGCAGTGGGCTCTGGCATAGCAGTAATTGTGAGGAGGGTACAGGATCAGACGGTGTTGTATTCTGTTATGCATAGGGTCTCTATGGGTTGGAACCAAATCGACGGCACCTAACAATGTGCACCTATACATGTGTCCATTCATATACAAGTGCATACTCACAAACATACTTATATACCTCTTTCCATATGTATGCACACGCATACTTACACACACATGCCCATCTGTACATATGCACAGACACATGTCCATATGTATGTCCATACCCACACATTTACACTAGCACACACGTCTTCTATCTACATGTATGAACGTATACATGACCATCTGTGTGCGCACAAATGTCCAGCCATATGCACACCCCATCCATCCATACGTGCACACACACACACACACACACAACCTACTTACCCCTGTGCTACCAGCGCTCCGTACCAACCACCGATGGAACCAAACCAAACCACAAAGGAGTCTTATTGCGGCAAATATAGAGGGTACCAGAGATCACCAGGAGAGAGGTGCTGGAGTCTGCCCATAGAACAGGCTGGCGCTGACCTCAAGCAGTGACAGGGAATGGACACTCGCAGGTCTCACTCAGCCCTGCCTTCTCCTCCCCAGTGCCCCACGTCTGTCTGCACCCCTTCCCGCGGGGGCAGGCCTCACCTCGGGGGAGCACGTTCCAGGCGATGGTGTCTGTGATGGCTGTGAAGATCCAGTTGAGTTCACCCAGTGGTGTCCGCCGGTCATTCAGCCGCCCGGGGATCCTGGAAGACAGGGGCCTTGTCAGTGATGGGGGCCTCTGGAGGGGGTGGAGGGTATTGGAGTGGGTAGGAGAAGCAGGAATCCTGGAAGACAGTGGGCTCTTTAGTGATGGGGGAGGGCAATGGAAGAGATCAGGGGGAAGATGGGATAGGATGGGGATGTTCAGCCCCCACCTCTTGACAACTGTCCAAGGATAAGAATTCACACACTCCCATCTGAAAAGCACAACTTCCCACTCTCCCCAGGCCTAGTTCCAGTTTCCCAAGGGAAATGTGATCCGAGTCCAGACTGCAATCCTGCTACTGAGAAGCTTTGATGGATGAATCATTCCCCCACCACTGCTCACTCCATGGCATGGGCATTGGATGTCTCAGTATGGGGGGTAAGTTAGGCTGACATCGTAGCATAAAACTGTGATGAGAAGGAGTGCGTAAGCATTTCTGCACACATGCACTTTGTCTTCTCACTGCAGCAGGGCTGCATTCTATTTTCTCAAGTAGGCTTAGTGATAAGACAAGAAAAATATCAGGAGAGAAATCAGTATAAGACTGCAGGGTTACTCAAAGAATGTCAGCAGTCTTGGGAAAAGTTTTCCAAATTCAAATTCCCACCTCACCAGAGAGAGTTCCGTCTACCAGACAAAGAGGTGTGCAAACTCAGGAAATTATTCTTCATGGCACAGGTGGTTTAGAAAGCAATTTTGTTTAGTTGTGTGTGTTGTATGTGTGTATCACATGTAGGTATGCATGTAACATGTTTATGTGTATGTATGCGCACGTGTACATGTGTCTTGTGGCGTGTGGGGTGCATTTACCTGTGTGGGCTCTGCCTGTACATGTGTGTCTCTCTGTGTGTGGCCCATGTGTCTATACATGTGCATTGGTGTGTGTGTGTGTGTGTGTGTGTGTGTGTATGTACGTGTAGCTTTGCAGAAATCCAGGCCCTGAGAAGGCCCTTCTCAGCATGGCAGAGCTGGAGGTCCTGACTTTCTTGACCTGCATGGCATGTGGGTGGCCAGCTGCCTGCCCTGTGCTCAGCAATCAGGAGCCCTGACCACGCAGATCCAAGATGCCTCTCTTACCAGCTGTACCAGGCTCCATCCCGCGCAAGTGTGCAAGGGTGGGTGTGTCCCCCCAAGGGGAAGTGATTCCTTATGAAACACATGGGCAGACAGTTTGTGGGCTGTGACACACCAGAGTTGCCCCTCTTGGTTACTATGTCAGGGATGCATCATGGGGACATGGGATAGGACAAGGACATGGAGGACGCATGGGTCTGACACAAGTCCTTGGAACCTTAGTGTGTGTCTGGGGTCCTATATCTGGAGATGAGAAACAGTTACCAAAAGCCTTTTTAATACAACAACTGACAAGACGCCCAACACTCGGGAAAACGTGGGACCTTTTAGAGGTCCGGGACTGTTTCTGGAGGCAGCGGTGGCCCAAAGGAGAACATGGTCACCAGAGGAGCCCAAACAGGCAGCTAACGTGTGCAAGGAACAAGATGTCCAGAACACACAAACCTGGGCAGTTCACCATGGGCCTGTTAGCATTAATCTGTGCGACACTGAAGACAAACCCATTCCGACCTAGATGTCTGTCTGTCCTTTCACACTGGGTCCTGATTCAGGACCCCGTTGGTTCACTCAAAGGCTTAACGAGAAGTCAGAGAGAGGAGAAAGGGGACAGCTCAGATCCCGGGACAGAGCAGCCACAGCGGAAACCTACCAGCCACTAGCTTCTGCTCACAAAAGCCTTGGCCCCATGCTCACTCGTGCCATTCAGAAGTACGATGGCGGTAAGAACACAAGCAGGTGAGCGGGAAGACGGTGAAAAGCAAAGTCCTCAGGTGCTGAGTGTGCATGGCTCCTCTTCTATGTGGCCCATCAGCCACAGTGGGTTTACAACCCTGAGGGGGTGGCCAGGGAATGAAAGTGAGTGACATAGGGTCACTGAGAGAACAGACTGACCAGACTGGGGCGAGGTACACCACTGTCAGGAAAACCCAGACCACAATGTTCACGCACACTGCTGATGGGGTGGTGGGAGCCACTCCTTGGAAACCCTATTCAGGGTTGGTGTGAGTGAGAATGGACCCAACGATCCTAAACAGCAACAGCCAGGTTTACGAGGCTACACTGGTGGTTCAATGGTAGAAATTTAGCCTTCTGTGCAGGAGGCCTGGGTTCGATTAGTCGCCGATGCTGAGCAGGTGTCAGTGGAGCGTCACACTAAGATGACCTAGGAAGGAACACCTGGACACTTCCCTCCGGAAATCATCCAATGAGAGCCATGGGTCACAATGACTGGCCCCACAGCTGATACTGGCTGGGTAGCCATGAGTGCAGTTATTGACAACATACATGTGCAGGTATAAAGAGCTGAACTGGGAGATGTGAAAACGCAAACGCTGGTCCCAGCTGTGCTGTGGCGGAAACTCCTGGCATCATATGCCTGTTGCTGAGTGACTAAGGCTAACCTTACATGCAAGACGGAGCCTGAAATAAAACAGAAGGCACTTCACAAGGACACATGGCAGATGCCCAGGCATGCCACCTTCTCCTCGTCCTCAATGCCGCTGTCTCCACCAGCTCTATTTTTACTTCCCACACATCTGTAGTCACATCCTTTCCCTGATGCCATCCGTCACGGGTGACCCTGTTGGATGTTGGCACCCGTAGGCAGTTCCTGTGAAGACTTTGAGTCCTGGGCCAAGCCGGCACTTGCGTCATGGCCACACGTGCATCAGTGTCCTTCTCCCTAGGGCAGGGACTGGCCGCTGGCTCAGTCTCCCGTGCCTCAGTCTAGTTATCACTCTTTGGGCAGCTCAGACTCCTGGCAAGATTCTGTGGGCTCTACTGTCGCACTGTCCCCAGGTTAGGAGACAAGCTCAGACCCTCTGCTGACTGGGTACACCTGCCCAGGGCCACTCTTTTGAGCCACCTCGATCTTCACTCTGCTCTCTCTCTGCCAGGCACCTGTGGGTCCCTTCTTTTTTTCTGGGAGAAAACAAAATCAAATCAGAAACCTCACCCTCCAAGAACCACCAGGTCTAGGATGGGTTCTCCAGAGTAGTCTGAATGTCTGACTCTGCGGTGCCCAGAAACACCCCATCCTTAAGCACCAAGCCCACCTTCCACATGCTGACAGCTAGCTAACAGTTCTCATGCTGGAGCCACACAGCTGTCGACAAGGTCCGATATCAGCCACCAGAAGATTCCGCCCACTTTCCCACCGTCCAGTTCATTCCCACCTCACAGCCGGAAGACTGGACTCTCCTAGGGGCTGTTTACCCTCTACTTCCTAGAAAATTCATCCAGCACAGTGGGATATAGGAGACTTACCTTCTTCATGATCCTTCTAATTTCTCCACATCTTTCTCTTTCACCAAATCTACCTGTTTTCTGGCAATATCTAGCCTGTCCCTCCCCAGACCCCCAGCATGCTCTCAGACCCATGTGGACATCCTGTGTCCTCTTGGAAAAGCCGTAGCCCTTAAACATCCACTCCTGTTCCAACTGCTCTGTGAAGGTGTTCCATGGTGCCTCCCTCCACTCCCACCCAGGACCCCACTATGCAGTGAGGTGATGGTAGATGCTCTCACAGGATGCTGGGAAACCTCTGCTGTGAATGACAACAGTTCCCCAGCTAGAATGGAGCTCAAGCTCTTTGAGAGAGAAAGCTATGCTCTCCATCTCACTATCCTAACCAAACCAAACCACTGAAACTCACTGCTATTGAATGGATCTCGATGAAGCAGCAGTGGCCCACAGAGCAATGGGTAGGTGCTCAATATGTATTTGGTGCATGGGTCAATGAACCCCTCCTGAAAGCCATAAAGCTGTGTATAAGAAAACAGATGGCTGAAAGCTGTGGTCCTCAGGGAAGGGATGCACACTCACTAAGACATTCACCCAGTAACAACAGAAAGAAACAGAGAGGGCGCCCTCCTAAGCACCATCCTCAATAGTCACCAGCAACATGCTGGTGACTGTGCTTCCAGACAGCTCTTCATGCACAAAATAAAACCAACTGAATGTCCTGGAAGACACTCTATGTGAAGGGTGTGACTTTTTTTGTGTAATCTATACACAGATGGGCTTAGAGTTGGGGAGAGTCTACACCAGAGAGTTCACAATGATCTTAGCTCGCTGGGGATTATGGATGACTTGAATTTTCTTTTTAGTCATCAGTATTTAATAGTAGACCTATGCTAAAAACACATTATTTTTGTCATAAAGAAAAAGACAACAACCACAACCAAAAGACAGGCCACAGTAAGTTTTCTCAAAGAGGGAACATTATTTAAAAATCCATTATTTATGGATTTAGAACCGCTCACATTAAATTACATTAAAGTTCAGTACAGTTTACTTGTTTACTTGGAATGATGATGATGAAAATGAGGGTGTGGAGGACCTTGGGCTGGTTCTCTGACGTAACGCAGAGAGTTCCTGACAAAGAACGTGGGGACATGAACCTGGCAGTTTCTTTTAAAGGTACCTCTTAGTAATGGTTAGAGAAGTCGGTCAGACAAACGGTTTCCAAGCTGTGGTGGTCAGGGGCCAGGAGGGGGACTTTACTGCTAGGGGAAGGAATCCTTAAATGTGTACAACGTACACCCAGCAGTAGGCAAGAAATCAAACGATGTGTTACATTGGGCACATCTGCTGCAAACAACCTCTTTAAAATGATAAAAGCAAAGACATCACTTTGAGTGCACCTGACCCAAGTCGTGGTGTTTCTCCGCAGCCTCACATGCATGGGAAGGCAGTACACTGAGTAAGGAAGACTGCCACTGGGACAAGCAAATCTGTCTTGGAAGAGGCGCAGCTCCTTAAAAGCGAGCATAGTGAGACTTCGTCTCAAGTACTTGAACATGCTGTCAGGAGTGACCAGTCCCTGATGAAGGACACCATGCTTGGCAAATTAGAGGCTTAGAAAGAAGAAGAGCCTCAACAAGGCAGATTAGCACGGTGGCTGCAACAAGGGCTCAAACACAA